AATAAATTATCAACATACTTTCTCGTCTGTCTGCCGGCGCCAGAGCTCGGTGTTGGCAGGGTTTTCCATTCCCTCATGCCCCTAATAGATCTCACTGTTTGATTAATCTTTTAGATCTCTCCCACAGAAACCCTGCTCTCTGGGCCAACTCTCCTCACCATGTCCGGCTTTCTGGATTTTTTTCTCAGACTCTCAACCTTGTTGCTGCCCATCCCCATGCTCATCCCTTGGTCCTTGGACCACAGACGACTCCTGTGTAGGGCTCCAAAGCAGATGCCTTTAGCCCCGGCGAGTTCACAGGGAGACTGTAGGGACGAGCACCAGATTAGGAGTCATAAGACGTGGATTTCCCTCACCCCAGTTACTCACCAGGTGTGCCAGCTTGAGCAAGATTCTGAGCCTTAGTTCGGCTCATCTGTGGAGTGGGGGCAGTTGTGAGGGTCACCTGAGGCAAGGGGAGAGTCCAGGCTCCTGAGCTGTGAGCAGGGGCAGGAGGGGGGTCCTGTGAAGCTTTTCGAGCCTGTGAGGTATGGGATGGCACCGCACTACCTGCTCTCCCTGGGCTTGTGCGTGCTGGAGGAGCTCGTAGGGTATAGCCCTGTTCTTTCCTCTGCAGGGACAGAGGCTCAGGGTCTCAGAGACCAGGAGGACAACGGCTCAGGCTCCAACCCATGCCTTCTGTGTCAGTAAGGTGGACCCAGTTTAGGAGGTTAACCTGTGTCGTCTCCATGGTCCTTTCCTTTTCTAAACCATGAGCTTGTGATTCTAGTCAATGAACTGAACCTGGCATGCAGGCCGGCTCAGCCACTCTCTGGGCGTAATGATAGCAATTCTAGCTACCATTTCCTCAGCACCCTTTAAACACCAGGAGCTCACATGCATCATCTGCAGTCTTCACAACAAAAATGTGTATTTATCCTCATTTTACAGGGAACAATCTTGAAGCTCAGAGAGGGTAAATGACGTGTCCAAGGGCACACAACCAGTTCTTGACATGTCCAGACTCAAATCCAGGCATCAGAGCCCAGGTTCTTTTCACTCACATTGACACTGCATTCTTTGATCTCTCCTCCTCTTGCCTCTCAGTGCCCCTTACCTGCTTGAGGGACATGATGGAACCCCTCACCAAAGATGCCTTTCCAGCCCCTGTGAGATCTGGCTCCACCCAGCAGGCAGAGTTGTCTGCAGATTTGGGCTGATGCTAAAAATAATAATAGTTACTATTTGTCAAGCATCTGTAATCACCTAACATAATAATAGTCTGAGAGAAAAAATCTTCCAGAATTGTTATCTCCATTTTCCAGATGAAGAAACTGAGGCTTGGGAAAGTATCATCGGATGCCCATTGACAATTGAGCCTCAGTTACAAAATGGCATTTGTGACATTCCATTCAAATTAAACATGCGTATTGAATGTTGGCTACAGTCAGAGCTTCTGACAGCTGATGCTGTGAGAGCGTTTAGCAAGAGAGCCTTGGGTCCATTCTGTGTTACAGAGGAGCAGATGGAAAGCTGGAGAGGTGGGTGATGGGCTCACGGTCCCACAGCTGGCCAGTGGTAGCCTGATCCCCCAACCCAGGATTCTGGGAACTGCCTCACATGGTCTGCAGGTCTAGATCTGTGCCCATAACTGGGATTCTGTGCCCCATTTCTGTCTGTCCCTCCCTACTTCACCCCCATGAGATCCAGCACCTCCTCCTCCATGAAGCCATCTTTGCCACCCCAGGCAGAGTTATGCCTCTGCATAGCTGTGTGTGTGCATGCATCTGTGTCACTGTGGTCAATATACCTGCCTCCTCAGCCGGTCCTCCAAGGCAGGACAAATGGCCCCTGTCCTCAAAAGCTCTCTAAGGAGATAACTCTCAGTACCACCCTCCCTCTCTAACTTGCCCCTGAGTAACTTGCACTGCAAAAGCTGGGGTGTGGGGTCCCCCTGCCTGCCAGCATGTGGAAGAGGAAGCATCCCCAAGGCAGTGCCTTCGTCCTAACCCCAAGAGGGGTTTCCGAGCATCTTCCCCCATGGCAGGGACCACAGCAGCCCGGAGCAACTTCAGGCCTGGCCATTGGACACACCCTGTCCTGATGGTGGCAGCCTACTGAGTCGCTCTGCTTGGGCTCTTTTTCCTCCGCTGTCTCTTATGCAGACACCAGGAGGCTCTGCCGAGCTCTGTGACTTGTTTTCTTCTGTTAGAGAGATATGACCTCCTCCCTGACATCTGCCTTGTTCCTCTTGGGGCTGACCATGCTGGCTCCCTCCCCTCTGCCTGGGCCTCTCCAAGCCCCTCCATGCTCTCACAGACCTGCCACCTGCCAACTAAGACTCCCTCCAGGTCTCCCTCAACCCTGGTTCCGCCTCAACCACCTACGAGCAATGCCTTCCCTCTCCTCCACTCCTACGTGAGTCAGGTCTGTGTCCAAAGATAAGCAAGGCCGAGGTCTCCTCTCACTGGGAGCTGTTTCAACACATTCTCCTTCCCTTTTTGTACTGGTTATCTAATGTACAACAAATCACTCCTGATTAAACTTCGTGGTGTAAAACAACAAGAATCATTGATTATCTTCACAGTGTCTGTGGGTCGGGAATTCAGAGCATCTTGGCTGGGTGGTTCTGGCTTGGAGCCTCATTGAACTGCAGTTGGAAGTCTCCTGTAGCCACTGTCATCTGAAGGCTTGATTGGAGCTGCAGACCCACTTCCAAGGTGGCTCATTCATATAGCTGGCAGGTTGGTGCCAGCCTTCAGCAGGTGGCAACAGTTCCTCTCCACCTGGACATCTCTCTATAGACAGGGCGCTCGAGTGTCCCCACAGCATGGCAGCTGGCTTCCCTCCAAGTGGCCAAGGCAGAGCCTGCAATGTTTTTGTGATTTAACCTTGGGAGTCACACACTGTCACTTCTACCATATTCTATAGGTCATATGAGCTGCCCTGCTTCGTTGAGGCAGGGGCTACACAAGGACATAAAACCCAGTTGGTAAAGATCAGTGGCAGCCATCCAGGGGGCTGGCTGTCACACCTTAGAAAGCTGGAAAAGGCTGTCTTCAGCTGACCTAGGAACGCACTTCCTGACTTACTTTCTCCCTTTCTCCATCAATGGACAACTGGTTTACTTAAATCCTGTTCTAATGATGTAAAGATGGACAAGGCCATGGGCCTTCCCTGGAGGAACTCACAGTCAAATTGAGGAGAGTCTCATCACAAGAACTGCTTCAAAAGAGTTATGTACAGAATGATGGCAACACAAAGGACAGGTTCTTACCTATTTGGGGGAGTATGGAACACCTTCACAGCAGAGGGTACATTTGCTCTGGGTCTTAAAGGTTGAGTAAGAGTCCTCAGGTAGAGGAAGGAGAAAGGATATGGCTCCATGCAGAGGTAATAGCATGAGCCATGGCGGAGAGTCATGGCAGCATACAAGACTGTGATTTTGAAGGGTCTAGAAGGCTGTGATAGGGAGTTTGGACTTCATACATCAGGAACTGCTGGAGGGAGTCAAACCAGAGAAAGCTCTGGCAGAGCTATGTGGTGGACAGGACATGACTGGCAGGGGCAGAGGCTGAAGACAGAAAGTCGGGTCAGGAAACTGCTGCAATGCTCCTCTGAGAAAAAAGGACTGTCTGAGAGACCATGGGCATGACAGGAGGGGTGAATTCAGGAGGTGGGGCAGAAAGGACATGGTGAGAAATTGTCTCTGGCAGAGAGGACAGGCTTGAAGGACAAGACTTACTTTTTCCACCATCTCTGCCCCTGGGGCCTTCCTTCCCTAACTTTTGGCGCCTCCCGGATGACCCGCACCCAGCCCATGCTTGAGTCCTGAACAGAGCTACCTGGCTTTTTCTAAATAAGTTCTCTGGACCAACACCATGAGCCTTCAGTGTATGCCCCTGTAGAAAAAACTGATCAGAGTTATGTGAGAGGCCAACATGACATCAGGACCATTAGCCTAGGACTAAGTATCTTAAATGTTTTAGGCCACAGACTTTCTTGAGACTAGTGAAAACTATGAACTATCTTTCCAGGAAAAAAAAAATGCACATTTGTACACACAGTTTGCAATCAATTTCAGAGGCTCACATGTCCCTCGAAGTCTATCCCTGGGTCTCTGAACCCTACATTAACAGCCCCAGGTCCAGGAAAAAAATAGAAAATGAAAAAAGCAAATATTTGACTCCCTAAAGTCTGTTATTTACTTCCTCTTTTAATATCCCCCAGCCCCCTGCAATAATGGAACATCCCCCAAAATAGCAAGAAACAGGAGGAAGCATTTACCCAGTGATAGCCCCTGGTGCCACCAGCCTCACTTGGCGGGTTTATTTTCATTATTATAGTAATTTTCAAGCTGCAGGCTACAATTTTCACTTGCAGCGAGGTATTAAATTGAAATTACCCCAGATGTAATTGTCATAGGAAATAATCCTGGATACATGGAAGTGAATGCCTTTTCAAGATGGGGTTTTACCACTCATACCAGGGTTTGGGGCTCTGCCTCTTTTACATGCCAGATTTAGGTGTGTGTTGCAGGGGCCAGGCGTCAGCACAACATGGTAGCCTGAAGCTGTTAACCCAGAACACAGTGAAGCCTCTGCCGACTGGAATCTACCCACTGGCCAGTGGCGTGGGCAGATGGGCCAAAAGGGTACAGAGTGGGGAGCAGAGCCCAAGACTTGGGGTTGTGTTCATGCAGCTACCAGGAGCCACCGTACGCTAGCTCAGGCATGCAAGAAACACCACACTTATTTTCCGTATATCAACTCAACTTGTCTCCAAGCCCAGGTTCCCCCAAGGTGGAAGAAAATTCAGATTTAGTTATTCTTGGAACTCCCCAGCCCCTCTTAGGGCCCGGTGAAGCCATGGGGTCTTACCTAGTGCTTTGCAGTTGGGGAAGCCCCTCTAGATATCAAGCATCTGGCATAGGGGTGCCCACCCAGATGCCTTCGGTTCTAGCCCTGCAGATATGCTCTGTCCCTGAAGGTCTCACTTGTCCTGTGCCTTTCCTTCCCTAGATGCACGCTGCTGGTGTATTGCACGGACCTTCCACCCACTAGCATCATCATCACCTTCCACAATGAGGCCCGCTCCACGCTGCTCAGGACCATCCGCAGGTGAGGCATCCTTGCTCGTCTGTTGGCCAGCTCCAGGCCAGCAACTGGTGACAGTGTGTCTACTCCCCTGGTGCCCGGCCCTGTCCTAGGAACACCAGACACATCTAACTACATGCTAGGCACTGTTGTATATGTCACATGCGTCCACTTAGTCACTCCTCACATTCCTGTAAGGGAGGTTATTATCTCATTTTATAGAAAGACAGAGGCCTGTGGTGTTAGGTAATGTGCAGAAGGTCAAAGAGAGTAAGTAGAAGAAGCAACCTCAGAGCCCTCGGCCTCCCTACTCTGCCAGGCTGCCCCTAGAGCATGGGCTCTGACTTCCACAAATGAGGAACGGGCTGAGGCCCTGAGAGGCTGAGTGCACACCCCAGCCCCAGCATCAGGCTGGGGTCAGTACCCAGCACCCTGACTCTCTGCCCTCCCACACACTTGTCAGGGGCCATGCAAATCAGAACGGCCTGCAGCAATCACTAAGGCTTGCCTTCCTGACCATCTACCTGCAGTTCCATCCCTGTTGCCCTCGGGCTTCAGTCCACTCATCCTCTGGGTCATGTTCTTGCTCTGATAGGTATATCCTGCTACAAATGGCCTCTGGCCTGTGTGGGTTTTTGATATGCCCAAGTCCCAGTGCCAGGCCCTAGCAGAACTCCCCTCAGAACGTAGAACTGCACCCAGAAGACTTACCCAGGAATTCCTCCCCCAGATTCTCCAAAGACTCTAGCTGTTTCACCCTCCTTCCCCCATACCCACCCCCCTCTCCAGAAGTCATCTGTCCTCCTCTCCCTCCCTCAGGCCACCAGCAGCATCCACCTCTCAGATGGCAATGACAGCAGCCGCCCTCACTCCAGCTCCTGTGCACACATATTCTGTGCACCTCAGCTGCAGAGGTGAGGAGGCCACTGCCACGCCCACTTCACAGCTGAGGAAACTGACATTGGAGATACTAAATCAAGGCCCCATGTCACCTAGCCAATGATAGTGAGGCAGGATTCCAGGCCTTGCACTCTGATCTCAGAGTCCTCCTTCTTGGCAGCCTGAGCAGGGAGAGGCTAGTCCCAGTGGTGGCATTCAGCATCCTTCGGGGCCAGGAGTGCCACAGCCACATCCCGCAGCTGAGCAAGAACCCGCAGTACCTCCATGTCCCCATGACACACAGCTCATTAGACCCTTCCTGTCCTGCTGAGCAGCACATCAGCTGGTGCCGATGCCACAAAGAAGGAAATATGATGAAACATGGGTCAGAGAGCGCACCAAACAGCAAAATCTCTAACTGTTTCCATCATGCAGGCCACACTTTTCCTGTCTCTCCCACCCTCGCATGGCTGTGGGCAGTGGGAAGTTCTAGGTGATTGGGAGGTAAGTCCTGCAGTAGGGTCACCCTGCGGGAAGGCACCAAATCTTCAGCTCCATCTGTCACGAATGATGAATGTCCATGTACACGGTCACCAAATCCCTTAGAGACATAGGGAAGGACCTGCCTAGACACACAGTTTTTAGCCCAGTGCTTCCACCCATCCAAGGGGACAGCCCTGTCTGCTGTTAAGACATCCTCGGCAATGACAGGCTGGCTTCTTCCTCCAGCCACGTGCCCATGCTGGCTTCTGCAATCACCCCAAGAGCCACCTGATTCAAACTTGATTTCCCAACAAGGCAACAGCTCTTGACAAGAAAATGTGCCAAGTCACTGTCAGGTGTCGCCGGGAGTCTCGGGGTAGATTAACAATAACAAAGTGCCTGGCTGGTTAAGTGTGGGGACAACAGGGATGGAGGAGGCCCAATTCTCCTGGGTCTCCTGTGGTGAGGGGAGGAGCGTCTGGGGTATCTAGGCTGAGAGGACACACGGGGAAGTGGAGGTGGCTGGTTCTGAAGTGCCAGACCACAGCCCCACTGCTGCGATCTGCTGGGGCACCAGGGCAGGTTCATGGAGCAGGCCAACTGCAACCTCTGCCTTCCCCACCGCTATGGTGGCTGCTCCACTGGTCATGACTGGGCATACCTGCCAGATGTTTCCATGAGAACAGCGTTAGCATCTGAGAGAGGCCCCTCGCTTTCCAGGCCGGCCTCTCCCTGCCCATCCTGCAAGAAGCTCTCTGATGCCGGGCGCCTCCATCCCCTGACACAGTCACACACATGCAACCAATCAGGGGCTTCCTCTGGGCCATTCTCTGCATATCACTACTGCAGTACTTGCTGCATTTTTCCGGCCTGTAACCTTCAGTAAGCTCCTTTAGGGCAAGGGCTTATCTTATCCATCTCTTAACCTCCCAGTGGCTCAGTTTCCTAACCAAGGAAATGAGAGTACTAATCCTACTTAGTGCATAGGGTTGATAGGGTTGCTACGGGTTAATTCGACTAAAGGACTGAGAACTGTGCCTGGCATGGAGTAAGTGCTTGATCAAAGAGAAGAGGCTATGGGAGACTTAAAAGGGTGCCACACTTGGAGTCAGAAACCCTGGAGTCAAATCCAAACCCTACCACTGTCTAGCCGTGTGACCCTGGGGCATGTTATTAACTACATCTGCAGAAAATGATGATAAAAATATCTTTCATGTTTCTAATTCTATCACATTTCTCACAGTAAACTTTCCTCTTGGGAATGTCTCAGACATTTGGGGGCATTACAGTGTATGTAATATGGGGGCTTCTAGGCCCCCCAGGCCTCCCTAACAGTGTTTATGTCCTCGAGGGTACTTTAGCTGCTGTGCTCAGACTCTAAGACATGTTTCTCCTCTTCCTGCCACTCCTCCACCTCTACATGGTATTAATGATACTTAATAATAATAAGATTACTATGTTAAATGTATCCTGAGCTTTGTGGCCTGCAGAACACCTTCCTTCTCTCACTCCAGTTGGAGCCTCATCCTGAGCCTATGGGGCAGGTGGTACACGTAGTGAGAGCAGAGGCATCAGGCCTCAGGTTTCCTGGCTTTCCCGGAGGTACAGCCCAGCTCCTCTGTATGCCCACCTGACGGAGGGCTGCCCCGAGGCCCTGGAACCCTGCACTCTGGGAGGGTTCTCGGGACCCATCAGCCCCGTACTTTTCAGAAGACACCCATGACGTGCCAGATGAGTTAGCTGAGGGAGCCCATTTCCTGCCTCTTAGGAACTTCAGATGTCAGCCAGCCTCGAGCTCAGACCCAAGCGTGACACACACAAACAGCAAATCGGGGACCTGAGAGCCATGTGTGGACAACCAGGAGCTTACATCAAAAGCAGGCAGGGCAGAAATGAATGTTAGGGGTGGAGGCAGGAAAGATTACTTCTAGAAACTTCCATGCCTTAAGATTCTATACCTCCCTTTCACTCCCTATCCTGTTGCACAAATGGATCACTAGCCACTGAGAGGGGACTGACTGAAGGGCATGTCCTGTCTCAGAGGTCTTCAATAAAGGGATCTTCTCTAAGGTACTTTTCATTGTTAACTTTCTGGAATTCTGGATAGGCTTTGTTGTCAGGCTCTTTGCAACCCCCTGCCCGGACCCTCTGGCCCCCTAAGCTCTTGAGTTAGCTGGGGACTAGATAGGCTCACGTGGGGCACTCAGAGGCAGGTGGAGGCTCAATGGGGTACACAGATGACGGGGTGGGGGTAGAGAAGCATGACCTTGATGCATTAGGGGACCTTCTCACTTAGAGAGGAAACAAGCCCTGAAGAGTGGTTTATGTTGACTCCTGCTGCAGTGAGTCCTCATGTTTATGGGAGACCCAGAGCTGTCCCCTTCCTCTTGGGGCATCCTTCACCGCCACCCCTCCCATCGGGGCTCCAAGGCATGTGTTGAATCTTCTCACTGTTGCTTTTTTATAATATCCTAGATCTAGGGGAGCCATTTCTCAGACTAAGGTGTTTAAGAATTTGGACTCTGGGGACAGATTTTCATGGCTCTGCCCCTAACAGCTATGTGACCATAAGTAAGCAAGTTAGTCTTTCTGCCTCAGTTTCCTTTTCTACAAAACAGAGACTGCTAATAATTACCTGACATTATTGTGGAGAAGGTCAAATAATTTCAGATAGGGAAAGGACTTGGAGCAGTGCCTGGCATATAGTGAGCCTGAGCGGTGACAACAGGTGTACATTGTGAGCCTCCAGCCCTGGCAGACAGCCAAGTTCTAATGCAGTGGCTCTCAAGCTTGAGCAGGCATCAGAAGCTCCTGGAGGGCTTATTAAAACACAGTTTCTTGGACCCCATCTATAGAAAGTCTAACCTAGGCCGGGCGCAGGGGCTCACATCTGTAATCCCAACACTTTGGGAGGCCGAGGCGTGCAGATCACCTGATATCAGGAGGTCAAGACCAGCCTGGCCAACATGGTGAAACCCCGTCTCTACTAAAAAAGTACAAAACATTAGCTGGGCATGGTGGCAGGCGCCTGTCATCCAAGCTACTCGGGAGGCTGAGGCAGGAGAATCACTTGAACCTGGGAAGCAGAGATTGCAGTGAGCCGAGATTGTGCCATTGCACTCCAGTCTTGGCAACAACAGTGAAACTTCATTTCAAAAAAACAAAAAAGTCTAACCCAGTAAGCCTAGAGTGGGGCCCAAGAATTTGCATTTCTAACAAGTATCTAGGTGACGGTGATGCTGCTGGCTCCAGGATCCCACTTGGGAAAGTCATGCATATTGCTATTAATAGTTTCAATATTATTAATATCAATACCACCATTCAGAGAGCAGCTGCTGTGTGCCAGGCATGGTGAGTTCTTTTCACACAGCTGAGGAAATTATAGTGCTGAAGGTTCAGTACTTACTGAAGCTCTCCCTGTTAGTGAATGGTGGATACAAAGAAACAGTACTTGAACCCAAGTTAGTCGCACTCCAGAATGACTAAACTCAACTGTCAGCCAGGCTTGGGTCTTCATTCTACTGGTATTTATGGAGCGTTTGATAAAACCTGCCTGCATAGAGCACCGTGGAGTTCACAAAGCAATTTCAAATACATTTCCTCATTTCACACGCACAAAAGCCTGTGAAGTAGGTCAAGTATTAATATCGCCTGCTTTTACAAGGAAAATGTAATTACAGGAGGAAATGAAGGCTGGGAGCGAACCAGCATCTATGTGGTTCGGGATTGCACAGTTAGTGGGTGGTGCAGCCCACCTGGCCTCTGAGCCCACACTGCCCACGCTGCCCTGCGGCCTCTGGGCGCTCCTCGAGGGCCCATAGTTAGGGCGCAGCAGGTGTAGAAGCCGCCTGTGTACCTGCCCTCTGGCAGAGAGATGAGCTGCATGTAGAAGACTGTTCTAGAACAATTCCAGGCAGAGTGAGGAGAGCACTTATTCCCATGCTGAGGCAGGGTAAGGAAGGGTGTGGGGAAGGCAGCTGGAGTGGGAGTGAGGCTGAGAAGAGCTATCCTGTGCTGGGCCTGGACGAACGAATGAATTTGCTTTGCTGTAGAGGCAGTGGTGAGAGCAAGTAGGGGAGACCTGAGCAACCATTCCCTCCCTGGGTGGAGGGAATGAGAATGGGTGTGCACGAGGGAGGGCCCTGGAGGACCACCTAGGCCAGGCCAGGTCCCTTGGACTGGACTTGACCTTCTCCTCTGACCACCCAGAGCACATGCCCACCTCAGGCCCTCCCAGCCGCAGGCCATGTTTAAGGGGACTCCACCGTCGCTCCAACTGTTCCGATTAGAGAAGCAAAAACAAGCCAGGTGTTACCAGGAAATGGTCTAATTAGCACTCACTGCTGACTATTTCTTTTTTTTTTTTCTTTTCCGTTTTAAACCCTGGACATTTTTTATTCACTAATCATCTCTCAGTTCAACCAGTGCAGAGCCGCACGCGATTTACCTTTTGATGTTCTCAGAAGAGAACTCTTGAATTTCAAAGAGCTGGCAGGGATTTAGCAGAATCGAATGCAGAATCTACAGCCGTAATCAAACCTCATTAGGAGTTATTCTTCCAGCAAGTTTTCCGCTGTCTCCTGCCTCCCTCCCTGATTAGAGGGCTGGTTGTTGTTTGTATGTGTTTTCTTTGGGACGATCATGGTGAACAGTCCCCTTCCATCATCCTCTGGCAGAGGCTGCAGCCTTTCTTTCCCCTCCCTGACCCCGAGCTCCCGAAGACAGAGACAGTGGGCTCAGGACTTTGTGTTGGGGTTCCTCTCTCCACCTGATACTAGTTGCCATGGTGAGAACCAAGGCTTCATAAATATGGGAGCTCCAGGCTAAGTTCTCTTCCGGGAGAGTCTGTATCCTGCATAGAAGGGGTGGTGCACTCCAATCAGGGCTCAGAAGGGCCCTCCTGGGAGGAGGGCTGCACACAGCACCTCCACCTGCATCCATTCTGAAGCCCCTCTCCAACATACATGGGGCTCTGGGAATCCCGTGGTGGCTGGTGTGGCCCACGCATGTGTCTGAGAAGTCACAAAGTTTGGGGTGTTCAGGAGAAACAGGATCCAGTCATCTCAGTCAGGCCTAAGACCCAGAGTTAACCTTGCCCCTGGGTAGAGATCCACAGCACAGGAGGGGTAAGTGAGTCAGTTAGATTCAAAAATCATTAATGATGCACCAAATTAAGTGATAACAAACAATTGCAACCATTTGTTATCACTAAGTGCCAAATATCATGCTAAATGCTTTTTATACACTTTCTCCTTTAATTTGCACAACTGCACTGTGAAATAAGTACTCTCCTATTATTATCCCTGTTTTCTAGATGGGATCCTTTGCTATACAGAGCAGTAAAGTAACTTGCCCAAGATTACACAGCTTGCAGTAAGTAGCTGCTACACCACAAGCTTCTGGAGGGTAGAATCATCATATGCCCAGTGCTGAGCACATAGTAGGTGTTCAGCAAATATCCCTCAAGGGAACAGTTATGGACCAAGCTGCTGTGCTGGACTCTGGCAATAAAGAGAGCAATGGGTCAAGGGTCTTACCCTGGGATATTTCCCCCCAGAGGGGACCACAGGCAGGCGAGGTACAAAACCAAACTTCAGGGCTGGGAAGTGAAAAAAGCCGTAGGATCAGATACAAACTGCTAGGAGATCTCAGAGGAGGAAGCAATTAATTCTCACTAAGTGGCTTGGAAAGCTGTTAGGGAGGAAGTGACATTCAAACTGGTCCTTGTGGGCAGCACAGGGGCATTTCCAGCAGCGGCGGCGGCAGCAGCAGCAGGAGAGAGGCTCTCAGTTATGAATGAGCAGGATAGCTTCAGACAGCGGCACTGAGCATGGGAGGTGGGAAAAGGTGGGCCAGCTTCCGATGGCAAAGGCCTTAGGAACGTGCTGAGGATTTGGGATGTCAATAGTGAGGAGCCCCTGGGGGGTTGTCAGTTTATTTATTTGCATTGGCGAGGAGAATCACACAATCAAAGCTCCATGTCAGAAAGTTCACTCTGGAGACCACGAGGAAGATGGCCTGGGAGAGGCTGGAGCAAGTTGAGGCTGTAAACCAGACAGAATAGGTTAAATCAGGGTAGAGCTATAAGAAGTGAAAGTGATTTGAGTGACATTTTCCAGTCAAACCAGCCAGTCTTTACTGATTTGCTGTGGGGTTTCAGGGAGTAGGAAGGTTGCCGAGGTTAACTCCTGGGCTTCTGTCTGGATGGCTTTGCGGGTGGTGGAGGTATTCATTAAGATGGTGAAGGCAGCATTACATTCCTGCTGGCTCACAGATAAGCAGTATGACTGGACAAGCCCTTTGGTGCTCTGATTTTTCATTCCTCAAATGCAATGGTGTTTATTTAAAACTCAGATTAATGACATATATTTTGCCACTAGAAGTCACAATGATTTTTTTTCTCTTTCCATCTTGCAGTGTATTAAACCGCACCCCTATGCATCTGATCCGGGAAATCATATTAGTGGATGACTTCAGCAATGACCGTAAGTCTTGTCGCTCACTTGCTCTTTAAACACCAATGTCTGTTCTCAGCCACTCTGTAACAGGCAGAGGTGAGTCCGCTGGTTTTCTGGGAATGCGGAAAAGCCCAGGTTTGTAATAGGTATGGAAGTCTTTGAGTGTCCGTGGCTAGGCTCAGAAGGAGAGAAGCTTTATATCCAAAAAACAGTTTCTTGGGTTCTCTGCAATAATCTGCAGTCTGAGTTAAGGCCCTCTTCCTATCACTCCCTGGGAGGTCTGGGTGGGCCCTGTCTTTGTGACTGCCCCTGCTGCCGTGGGACATCCTGTCACCTGGCCATGACACAGTGAGGGCTACCTTCCAACCTTTCGGCACACTTGCTCATCACCATTGCCTACCTTGTGTCCTCCAGTTATCCTATCAAAGAACCTGGGTCCCATTCAAATTCACAGCAAATCCACTCTCCCCAAGAAAAACATGGGTGTCTTTCCAGACACTGTGCATCAAATTTGAAAGGTACAATAATAGTCGAAGCATTGTCAGAATTAATGTACTGGTAGTGCCAACACCTCCCGTGAAAGCCATCCTCCCAGGAGCCTGGGTACAGTTCTGTGCAGTCAGTCATAACCAAGCAGTACACCCTCTTCCTGGTGATGAACTGAGGGAAACGGAGTGACCACTGTGGACAGCTCCGAGTCTGAGCAGAGTGGAGCCCACCCACACCAGCTGTGAGGCTGGAAGGTGGGCATGGGGAGCCACCCCCACACTGGGGTCTGCTGTATGAAGGCTGGAAACCCACACCCATTGGTGCAGCCTCGGAACCTCTGGAGGTGATGCGGAAGTGGGCTATACACGAGGCCCAGAGCAATGAGATCAAGATTCTGAGTTCTGGAACGTGAGGATCTGCTCTCCCTTCCCTAATGAGGAAGAGCTTGGAGGTGGGCAGACACCGGCCCTGCCGAGGGGTAGCCCGGCACTGAGGCAAGAGAAGAGAGTGCTGCTGGATTCACTTGCAAGCAGAATACAGCATGGACTCTGGAGCCAGACTGCCTAGGTTCAAATCCTAGACCTGTAAATCACTCACTAGCTATGTGCCTTAGGCAAATAATCAACCTCGTGCACGTCAGTTTCCTTGTTATAAAACAGAGATAATCATAGTGTATATGGTTTATGTAAGGAAAAAAAATATGTTAACACGTTTGAAGTGTTTAGAACAGTACCTAGCCCAGAAGCCTGTGTAGTTCAGAGCCAAGCAGGGAGGCCATGGTCAATAAACTAATAAAGCAAAACCAAGATACGGAGTTCAGAGCCAGGGAGCTGGTGAACCAAAGCAGTGAGGAGCAGCAGGCAGACCAAGGAGTGACAGGGACAGATGCCTAGGATGGGGTTTCCTGTATGGTGGAGAGGTGAACCAGCTCTGTGTAATGGGAGGCATGCTGAGTGGGACCCTTCCAAAAGCAGGTCTGTGAGCTGAAAGGAAAGTCGAAACTCTTATCTATTCTTGGCCTTCCAGCAGTTTTTACCAGACCTACTAAAATGACCAGGACTCTAATCTTTTGCTTTGAATGGACTATAAGAAAAGAAAAATGGGGACGGGCACAGTGGCTCGTGCCTGTAATTCCAGCACTTTGGGAGGCCAAGGCGGGAGGATCATCTGAGGTCAGGAGTTCAGGACCAACCTGGGTAACATGGTGAAACCTTGTCTTTACTAAAAATACATAAATTAGCCAGGCGTGGTGGTGGTGCATGCCTGTGGTCCCAGCTACTCGGGAGGCTGAGGCAGGAGAATCGCTTGAACCCAGGAGGTGGAAGTTGCCGTGAGCCAAGATCATGCCACTGAACTTCAACCTGGGTGACAGAGCGAGACTCCATCTGAAAAGAAAAAGAAAAGAGAAATGAGATTGTTTGTATTAATAACAAGGATAAATGCTTGAGGGGATGGATACCCCATTCTCCATGATGTGATTATTACACATTGCATGCCTGGGTCAAAACATTTCCTGTGCCCCTTAAGTGTGTATACATACCATGTGCCCATAAGAATTAAAGATTTAAAAATTAAATTAAAAATTGTTTAAAGAGAAAAATCACAAAAAAGAAAAGAGAAATGTCCCCAGGTGACTAGGCCAGGATTTTCCACCTGGAACATTTTCAAGCAAGTATACAAGTGCCACTGTGTACTGACCTGTTCCAAAGTGGCCCAGTTGAGGCCTCTTTGCCCTAGACTGGCCACCTTGTATGACAGCAGTGACTTGTCAGCCCCTCACAGCCTGGAAACACCCTGGAGTCAGAACTGCGCTCTGCAGTTAGGGGACAGTGGGCAGGGCTGCCTCACCTACCCTTCAGGTTCACCTGCAATGCACACAGTTGTAACATGTAGGTCCATCCCCAGGCGCTCAATTGGCTTAACCTTTTGTCTTTGCAGCTGATGACTGTAAACAGCTCATCAAGTTGCCCAAGGTGAAATGCTTGCGCAATAATGAACGGCAAGGTAGGTCTGAGCTGCTGTGCGGGAGCCTCCAGGGTCAGTGTGTGGGGGTCGAAGGTGTGATGGTGTGTGTGTGTTGGGGTGTCAGTGGGGAATGCTGGGTGGCTTCTCCCTAGTCTCGCTGGACAATGGAGTGACAGTGGCACCCACTTGGTCATTTGTTCCTGACTGCAGGTCTGGTCCGGTCCCGGATTCGGGGCGCTGACATTGCCCAGGGCACCACTCTGACTTTCCTCGACAGCCACTGTGAGGTGAACAGGGACTGGCTCCAGCCTCTGTTGCACAGGGTCAAAGAGGTGAGTGAGGCTGAGGAGCAGGGCCGGGCCTCATGCCCCAGCTTTCTCCAGGCTCTCTCTCAAGCTCATTACTTCACATATGCACCCCCAGTTCTTCTGGGAGGTGGGCAGAACAGATCGCAGTCCTGATTTTATGGATGAAGGAACTAAGGTAGAGCAGCCTGTGTGAGGTCACACAGCATCAGTGGTGGAGCGAGGACCGGGATGTGTTGTGACTGGGACTGTCACCCAGAGCAGGCTTGCACTTGGGACAGCTGGGACATAACGTATGCAGTTTCTTGGGCAGGAATGAACTGCCCAGAACTGGTTCTACCGGAGAGCAGAAGGTTCCAGATTGGGAACCCTTATGGGCGTCTTTTATAGAAAGGAGGCAGCAAACCTAACCAGGGTTCATCCCCTAATTCCTGGGGCCTCTGTCTTATTTCTACCCTCACCCAAAGGCTACACCAAGCAGGCAGGCTAGATGCTAAGAGACCTGACTTCCTTGCCCCTGTTTGCCCTTAAATTACTCTACAATTCTGGATGCTTCATTCCTCCAGTGTCTCAGTTACTCCCCAAAAAGTGAAAGGAAATTTAATTTTTCTTTTTATTTTATATTCCCTGAAGTCTATCCACTTCCCTACTGACTACAGAATGTGTGGCAATTGCAGATGGCAGTATCAATTCAATGACTAGCATTTGTACTGTACGTTCCTCTTCCTGAGTTATTGACTCCTAGAGCCATTCTGTGAAGTAGGAGGTCAGGTATTTTGAATATACCCACTTCACTGAAGAGGAAACAGGGCAATTACATCACTAGGTCTGATGTTTTCTGGTTGGTACCACCAGCACCAGATCCCTGGCGTTGCCTCAACAGCATCTTCCCTGTGCTGTGGTTATTTCCTGCTCACTCTTCATGGTAGCTCCTAAACTCCTACCTGCATAATGACAGTGTTAAGAGGACTGAAGAATAAGCTATGTCGTCTGCTCAGAAGAAAACAAGGAAATCCTTCCCAACATTGTTCATTCCAAAGAGAGAACCTCAGTGGGTTTACAAAGTTCTCTCACATGGGCCTAGATGTTAAGGCCCATCAGTAACCATTTTCTCTGAGATTGGGATGGCTCGTCGTCCACTTAGTGTTGTTGAGAAAAATCTCCTCTCCAGAATCACTTGAACCCAGGAGGCAGACGTTGCAGTGAGCTGAGATTGCACCATTGCACTCCAGCCTGGGCGACAAGAGTGAAACTCTGTCTCAAAAACAAAAAAGAGGAAAAAGAAAAATCTCCTCTCCTACTCTTTTTTGATGTCTCCTAGGCAAAGAGGTCTCGATTGGGAAATGTTGCCATGAACAGATACCTGTTGAAGGGCCTCTCCTGGCACTGAAGTCCCTTCCAAATGCACCCCTCCCTCCATGCTCTCTTCTGCAGCCCCTTGTCCCTGAACATGCCCCGATATTCCCATTGCTCCAGCTCTGTCCAAGCCCTTCCTGTCCCTGGATGCCTTTCCCCTCCTCTCCACAAACCCCCTTGCTCTGTGGGGCCTTGTCCATGGCTCCCTTCCTCTAGGCAGTCTTTTCTGACTTCGTGGCCAGCTAGGGTCATTCCTGGCAGTCATTGCTCCCTTGACCCACCATTTCCTCTTCTGGGTTAGTCCTTTGCCTCCCCTAATAGCTTACAAATCCAATGGGGGCACCAATGCCTCCTTGTGGCCATGCTGCCTGTCATAGAGTAGGTGCTCAGTGTTCGGAAATGAAAATAAAAAAAAACAGATGCCATGGGGAGGTGTTATGGTTGGAAGAGGAGAAAATCAAGCTTGCTTCCTACCCGTAAATGAATCAACAGACATTTCCTGAGCACCTATTTTGAGCAGAGTCCCAAGGGTTGGAATGGGCTGTGTAAAGGAATCCATACCCTGCTTAGTAAGGTCCGCTGGGTTCCTTGTGCACTGGTGCCACACTGGTTCACAAATGACCTCCAGTAAAGGGAAGCACAGTTTAAGTGACCGCAAGTAGAAGCAACCACAAAAACTCTAGAAAGAAGGAAATTCGGCCAGTGCGGTGACTCATGACTGTAATCCCAGCACTTTAGGAGGCCGAGGCGGGCAGATCACAAGGTCAGGAGATCGAGACCATCCTGGCCAACGTGGCGAAACCCTGTCTCTACTAAAAATATAAAAAGTTAGCTGGGCGTGGTGGTGCGGCACCTATAGTCCCAGCTACTCGGGAGCCTGAGGCAGGAGAATCACTTGAACCAGGGGGGCAGAGGTTGCAGTGAGTCGAGATCGTGCCACTTCACTCCAGCCTGGGTGACAGAGCAAG